AGTGCAGCCAGGCAGGCCTGCCTCTATCGCGTGGGGCTTCCTGCAGCACACATGCAACTCCCTGGCACTCGCACATCACCAGGGAAGCCCTGCGTGATGGAGCCAGCTGCCTTCCCCACCACATGCAGCTGCTGGGACTCTGCCGGAAGTGGTGGGGAGCCCCACCCCCTGCTTCCATGGCAGCAGGGAGTGGGCAAGACAACCAGCTCCATCGTGTGGGGCTTCCTGTAGTACTGCATGAGTGCCAGGAGTTGCATATGCACCGTGGGAAGCTCTGTGTAATAGAAGCAGGCTGGCCTGGCTGCACTCCTTGCCACCACGTGCAGCTCTGGCTGAAGCCACGCTCTGCCTGGCTGCAGCACCTGTATGGGCCATGAGCACCCTGAGGGCCCCTACTTGCTGCTGCTGCCACCACCCCCAGTAGGGGCTGTGCGCTGTTGGGGGGGAGTGTGTCCCACAGCCCTCCCTCACATCAACACCCTGCCCACCCAAGCTCAGTGTTCCTGCTGTCCTCAGGGTGCAGGCTCCATGCCCCACCAGCCCTATGCTCGCTGCCCCTGCCCAGCTGCAGCTTGCCCTCACCATAGCTCCCTCCTACTGCAGCTCTCCCTGCCCCCGCTGCTTCCCTACCCTACATTCCCTACCCAGAGCGAGCACTGTAGCAGGGAGACAAGGAGGAGCTGGATGCCAGGGAAACTGTGCAGGTCCCCCAGCGGCTGCAGCAATGGTAGCAGCAGCCCAGCCTGGAAGTTGCGTGCTGACTGGACCAAGCCTTTCCACGCATTAGGATGGGAGCAAGGCTCATGGGCTGGGCAAGGTACAATTAGTTGGTGGGTGCCTGCATGCTAGATGGAATTGGCTGGTGGTCTAGATTCAGCCTGCAGGCCTTATTTTGCCCACCCCTGCTGTAAACACTCCAGAAACGTGTGCAGCAATTGTTATGTATTAAGCAGTGATTTGCTTTCTGTGTTGTTCATTCAAATCTGGTTTTGGTTAGGGGTGTAAACCATTGACTAGATCAAGATATTTTAATTCAGCTTGCTTTGGAGTCGGACCCTGGGGCCCCTTGTAGCCCAGAGCCAGACCATGGAGCTCAGTGCCACAGTGCCAGTGCCAGCACAGAGCATGTGGCTGGGGCTGGTATTTGGGGAGATAGGGCTGGTGAAGTGTGGCCAAGTGAAGTGAGTGGAAGATGACTGGGGCTGTGTCAGACCTGCGTTGGTTCTGTCACCTTCCTGCCACTGATCGCTATGTCTGTTGGGGTCCAAGGGCCCCAGATTATGCCAAGCCACTCCCTTAGCCACACCAATAGCCTAAGAGGCCAGACAGAACAGATCCATGGGCTACATCTGGCCTGCAGATTTGACACCCCTGGACTTACACTATCATAGGTAACTCCTCTTCCTCTGCTCATCTTTGTTTTTTTTTATTGTTTGAAATTGTCTGGCCCATTACCAGAGTGCTGTACTGAGATGTACTCTGTCTTTTAAGGCTGGTGCATATGTCCATTTTTTTCAAACTGAGGTGTCCTTAAAATGAGGATTACTAAAACTGGGAAAAAGAGTGATAAGATATTTTCTCACATTTACACTAACTTGCAAACCTCTTAGCATACTAACCTGCATAGAATATTGCCTCAGACTATTAAACTTCAATAGATTACTCCATTATCACTGTAGTGTCTGCTAATCTGACAAAATTGTTGTGTATTCAAAATCAGCTAAAGCCTTAGAAATTGCTTTTAATGTTCCACTTGTAGGAAAAAAATCATGATGTACAAAAAAAATGCTTCAATTTAGAATTGCTAGGTATTTTTCATGCACAGTGTGAGAGCAGACATTCATATGAAATGTTTCCAATCCTGTTCTCTGGTGGAGTGCTTCAGCACTGTACAGATGCACAGGCCCATCCAAGCAAATGCCTTTCAAAAGGCTCTGGAGCAGATGCTGTAACAGACCTCTGAAGGTAAGAAGGTGAAGAGCAGAGATCCTGACATCCATTTTGAGCCCCAGAGGCCTCTGCATATTGCTGCAGATTAGCTAAAGAAAGGGCTGAGATAAGTCTGGGATTGCCTGTGGGGGATAGATCAGACGTTGTGTCTGGTATTGCCATAAGAACAAGAGAAAGCTTTATGCATAAAAAGTGGGGAAATGAAAAGCTTGCCTAGGAGAGTGAGAGGAGATGTTTGGGGTATGAGGATGTACCCCCTTTGTTAGGGGGTTCTGTGGTGTTGGGATGAGTGGGTAAGCCTTACCAGGAGGTGGTGTTCCTAGGTGCCCTGTCAGGTAGCCCTTGGGCTGGGGAGTGGTTCTATGGGGCTGTGGTGCATAACTTTAGCCTTGGTGGGGTATTAATGGAGTATGTGGACAAACATATATTTGTATCGGCTTCAAAACGGGGCCAATGGAGGGCTGTTGCTTAGACATGTACAGTTTCCTTTCCCCCACTTTTGAAGCTGCTCCAAGTGTACATCTGTTCATACCCAGCAGCTGCTGGGATTAACCTTTATCCTATTGTGGCAGTGTTGAGGACTGAGGTATGTTGCTAAGGGGCCTGGGCAGGGTGGGCCTGACCCTGGTGAGGTACTGGTGGAAATCATGACTGGTACCACTGGCTGTGATAGAGTATATCTGGAGGCTGGTGTTGAATACTGCTGGCCCTGTTGAGGATAGGGCTGCCTCAGAACCAGAAGTGGGGTACAACTTAGGGAGTAGTGGAAAGCCTGTGTAAGTGGTATGGTGGAGACCTTCTTTTGTGCATCTGTCTCAACCCAAAGATTGTCTATTAGCATCTCTATAATTTACTTTGCTATGTCCACTTCCTGCCTTATGGGATCAGTGTTTGGACTTGCCTGGTAATGCTGTGGTGTGCTTGACCAGGGAAATGTGCCTCCTATCCAGGTGAACGCACAGTTTATAGGATTCTTCAGCTGCCTTAGGCCTCTTTTCTGGTGCAGCCAGGCTTGTGAGCATTTTTCCTTTTCCTACTATGCCTGGCAGTTGCTATGTTGTAGTCTTGGGCTGTAAATTTTGGACTCTGTTTAAAGAACAGGTAAAGAATGTGAGGGGGACAAGGGATTGTGGCCGACTTAGCACATGGAAGTAATGTATGAACTAAGTTAACTCTCTGTAGGGAGAGAGACAGTAGTGTAAGGTACCCACTAGTGAAAGACTTGATAACAATCAGAAAATTCCCAACAACAGCTTATAATGGGTAATAAACCTTGCAAAGGCCCCCATTGTCTCCCTGCAAAATGGTCATCCCTCCCCCTGTCAGCCTAAAACTTCTATGAAAGGAGTTGAAAGTAAGAGGCATTAATCTCCTCCTTCCCCTTTCCCAGGTACAGATTCAAACCCTATACAGCAGATCCTAAAAGGGTCTATTACTACCCCTCCCTGATGTCATGGTACATGACAATTCCTTTGTCCCAGTCAACTTCGAATGTCTGAGCTGCCTCACTGCCCAATCACCTTTTTGGATCCCAAAAGTTGAGTTATCTACAAGTGGCCCAAAGTAAACCCTTCTGACTCTAGCACCTGAAAACTTGTACTCCTGGGCCACATACAAGTTCTCTGTGCCCCTGCCTAGTAACACAGCAGGTTGCTGATCTGGGAGTGGTGGGAATGGATGGGATGGACAGATACTAGATGTACCATCTGTGTCTTGGAGCACTGTTACTCATTAGCTGGTTCAGTGGCCAGCCCCGTTGGCCTTCCATCCTTGAGACTAGAACCTAGCTGGTGGGAGGACATTGGTTGGCCAGTTGGCAGTGGTGGTGGGGCAGTTGGTTGGGAGGTTGGGAGGATATTCAGGCTAGATGGCCTTAGTACAGGGGTGGGCAATTATTTTGGGTGGAGGGCCACTAAAGGAGTTTTGGCAAGCTGCCGAGGGCCACATGGGTAGCCCTGCCCCTTGACTGGTGCCCTGCCCCCTCGCCATTTTGGGATAGGAAGTCCCACCCCCCTAACCCCTGACCTTTGCCATCAGAAGCCCCTCCTCTTGCCCCTGGAAATACTCCTTTCAGCAAGGAGTTTTGTAATAAAATACCAAATTATGTTGTAAACGAACATCTACAGCGTTCATTGATTTGATTTCAAAAAATATTTTTGTCCTGATTTACATGTTTGGTATAGTACATAGAGATGATTGCACAATAGCTTAAAGTGAAGTCTTATTCTTGTAAACTGTGGGAGTCTGAGGGACATAGGGGAGTGAGTATAGGTTTGTGGGGGGGTGGGTATGTGGAGCACGGTGTGTGTGTGTGTTGGGAGGTGGATACATGTGTGGGGTGAGGGAGTATGTGGCTGTGTGTAAGGGGTGTGGGGAAGCATGGTTGGGGTGTGTAAAGGGGTGTGGGAACATGTGTATGGTAGGGGGGTGCTTGTGGGACTCGCCGTACGAACACACACACTCTCCATTTCATTATGTGTGTGTGCATACGCACGCACGCACACGCACGCACACACACACACCCCCTTCTGTCCCTCATGGCCCTGGGGTACTAGTGTGGCCCCCTGCTCCTGCAGTACAGTGATACCGCCAGGGGCCACGCGGTGCTGGAGCAGCCATGTGCAGGGAAAGCTGCCCCAGGCAGACACTTCTGGGTGGGAGGTGGTGGGGGCAGGGCTGGGCTGGCTTTTCTCCTGACAGCTTCCCTTGGGTTCTACTGTCCCTTGCTCCTGTCAGCTTTCGCAGGCAGCCAGAGGCAGGTAAAAATTTTAGAAAATTAATATTTAGGTGCCCAGCAGGCTGGATAGAATGGTCTGGCGGGCTGGATGTGACCTGTGGGCCATATTTTACCCGCCCTTGCCTTAGTATCTCGGTGTCCATGATCTCTGGACAGTGAGATGCTAGGGCCATCCAGCCTGGCTATACTACCAGCCTCCCACCCAAATGCCCCACCACCACTGCTGAGCCCTTATAGGTTTTTAACAGATACGATATGCTTAACATACCTTTTCAAAGGAAGATCACTCACTCATTTGTATGTGATGTTGCAGGAGGCTGCGCTGAGGACATACTACATAAATGATGATCAGCAAGACTATGAACTCCAGACATTTACTCAGCAGGCCTTGTTGTCTGATGACATTATCAACAGGAATGATGCCTCAGAAGAAATCTGTCCAGGTTCAGTATTCAGAGAGTCTATTCCTGAAGCTTGGATCATAAGAGCCAAACCAAAGGACCATGAAGTATTACGAATATATCCTGCTTGGCTGAAGTGAGTGTTTTCCTTCAGTTTGCAAGGTTACTTAGCAGTTTTGCTTTCCTTAGTACTGGCAGTCATTGGAGAGAGTATTACACAGGTGTAATGGAAGAAAAAATCTGCACAGTTGTGTCTCTTTTCTATATTTACGTTAACTGTTATCTGTGTATCTTACAACTTTGTTCAGTTGTATCTCTATGCTTTCATCCAAGATGATGTAAATTTTTAAGTAGACTGTATCTATATATATACAATAACTTCAGAAGTGTTGATTGATTTGAATTGATTGGGTTTATATGCTGCTGTTCCCAAACAAAGCTCAGGGTGCCTTACGACAAAAGACAAAATAACTTAAAAACAATTAACTGGTTGGAAGCCCTGAACAGGTAGCTAACTGCCCTAGATAAGGAAGCTGGGGGAGTTGCCCACTTAAAATAACACAACCAACTCATCCCAAAATTCAAAACGATCCATTCCATCCACTCTTGCCTTCCTGCCTATGACTTCAGAAAAAGTCTCCTCTGCTCCATACAGCCATGCTTACCAACCTCCATTCTCTACCTTGATAAAAAATAGATGTTTCATTCCCATACTCCCTCCCATCCGTGCCCACTCCCACTCCTCTATATTGCATCCAGGAGTGTCCCCTCTTCCTTCTTCCTCATTGTACCTCCATCTCCCATAGAGGGACCATGTGTGTCCCTAAAAGTCATTCATCCTTCCTTTTGCACCAAAGAATACATTATTTAATTAATAAAAAATAACAAGAAATACAAAAGCAGAGGAACTTTATCGTCTGTTTCTTTGTTTTTTAAAGAAAACATTAGGATTAAGAATTTATGTTAAATACTTTTCTATGGAGTTTTTTGTCTTGTTTTTTGGTAATACTACTGAAAGCTTGTCTACATCATTTTGACCCCCTAGGGAGTACTATTGTGAAAACATTCCCTGCTCACCCGGTTTCTCTTGTTCATGTATTAAATGCCAAATACATAATGTGGCTGTGGTGGGTCATGAACCAATAACCACAGTCAAGAATTGTAGTCTGAGAGCACTACTGGGTGCATACTGAACAGCTCTGTCAATAAAAGTTGTGGTATATGGAGCAAGCATGCCATGCTTTCACACAGCATTCCCTAAGAGGCTGTAGGTAGTGTAGGCATTAGGGGTGTGTGAAATGGACTGTTTTCAACTCGGATTCAGCCCGAATCAGGGACAGAAATTTGATTCAGATCACTGTCCTGATTCAATTCAGCTGAATCTGAAGATTCAATGCTGAATCAGAAATTTGGCTGTAGACATGGCTCTAAATGTTTTTTCTACATATCTCGAAGCACCAGTTGTGGCTGGTAAATGTTGCAAAGGTGGGGCACATGGAGCGTCCCACAGGAGTGCGGGGGGGGGCCTGCGTGCTCAGCAGCAGACCCAGAAATGGACCAGAAGTGCTTCTGGTCCACTTACTGGTCCGCCGCCAAGCAAACTGGGGACCCCCTGCCTCCCCTACACTCCCATGGGATGCCCCATCTGCCCCACCATCTCAGTGTTCATGAACCACCTGGTACCTTGAAGTATGTAGAAAAAACACTTAAAGCTGTGTTTGTCTGAATCATTTGAATCTCTGTGAATCGATATGGAGGGTTCCAATTTGATTTGGAGAGATTAAAGGGTCTCCTGATTCAATTTGGCGTTTCGGCCACTGAATTGGGCCAAATCTCCACCAAATCAAATCAGCGACCAAAGCTTCACACAGTCATAGTAGGCATGCTTTAGGAGTTCTTTGTTTCAAACAGATGGGACAGCAAAACAAGACTGATATGCTTTATGGACACTTGCATTTTACAGTCACTTCATGTTTTCTTTCAAAATTTTGTTTTCATTCTTGCTAAGAGTGTCAGTATGCTGGCAAACTTTAGTCAGTGATCCTGCCAGTGACTGCCTGGACAGAGCATTATTGATTTCTACTGTCCGTGATCAGATCTGCCTGTACTGTGTTATTTAGCTTTGAGATGTTGATGGCTGGTCTTAGGGATGGTAGTTCCACCGTGACCGGGATGATGAGGCTATACTCATCTCATGTAAGTTAGCAAACAGTTTTACTTCATCAGTTAGTGAAGTGTTCTTGTTATCCCTTGGAGGAATTGGAATCTGGGAGCTTAAAGGAATTACCCCATTATTCTATTAGTCTTTTGGGTCTATCTATGCACAGTGACTTTGACAATTTTTTTTTATTATTTAGAATTGGAATGGCCTATATCTCTCTACGAATAAAGAAAGAAAGCACCACTCGGACTGTAATCAAAGAAGTTCTCCCACTACTGGGAAAACAGGTAAGCTCAAAATAAAGACCGAGACCTTTGTAAGAGAGGACAAGGCAAGATGCCGTGTTCATTGATTTAAGCATGTGGTACGTACGCGCACACGCCAGGCTTTTGCTGGTCCAGCTCGTCAGGCGAACTGATGCTTCAGGATGATGTATGGAACAAGACCCAAAATTGACATGTCTCGCCCCGTCTTTATAGTTTTCCCAATTCACCCAGTCCTCTGGGCTTCTGCTGTGTTTCTCCTTGAACATCAGTTGATTTTTTTCTCATGCTGCTCTGGGGTGGATTCTTCTTATTTTGGTCTTTTATCTGTCTGCATTCTTCACCCAGTCGCCAGCTGGCGTTTTCCTTTTCCACACACACTCTGTCACCCATGCAGTATACAAAGGAGTGATACATCGAGCACTTATGTCAAGCTACAGAGCAATACAAAATGGAGTTTCTTAAGGCAGTGCAGAACTCAAGAAAATACATCAAGATAATACACAAGATTAAGGCAGTAGGCAAAATCTATCTCCATGTTACTTACCTAACATAAAGTTGGTATTTATGCCATTTGCATAACGTTCTTTTTTTTGATCCTTCAAAACATTTTATTTTGAATGGGTCACTATAATTTTCGGTGTAAAATAGTTATAGTACAGAGTTGAGTTTGTTCTCATGTTGTAGTAGTAAGATAGTTAATTTGTGATTTTTAGTTTTGTAGTCAATAACTTAAGGTGGTTTAATTATTTTTTAAAGAGAAATGGAAATTAATTAAATTATTCCCAACTCCAGGAATGATTTTTTTGTTTTGTGAATTGGGAAATAATAGTTTAGTGGTTTGTACCGTGGTTACATTATACATACATTGTTGTACTGGTGGCTCAGAAACATTTCTTCTTTGCCAAACTCTTTTTAACCCAATTATACATATGTAACTTTCCCTATCATAATACACCTTAGTTGTTTTATTATTTAATTTCTTTCAATAGCAAGTTGACAGACTTGTGCTTTTTGTTAGGCAGGGCTCTTTTAAAATGGGAAGCATTGCACATGTCTATTGTTGTGGTGTCCATCTATCACACTCAATGATCTATGATATTTTTATTGGTATTTATATGCATCCTTACTGAGCAAGGTATTTAGTAGTGCTTGCCTTGTTTCTTAATGCTTCCAAATCCACAGAATTTAAAATCCCTGTTCCTGCTTCTATTTCTTTTAATATTAAATTAGTTAAATTGTGTTTTTTGTGAGTATTTGTATGCTTGAATGATTGATACCAGGCATTAAACAAGGGAGCACTGTAGGACCTGTACGTGGGTTTAATTCAGGTTAGGTTGTTTCTGGCCCAACTGATTTTGATATGCAAGGTAACTATTAAGGGTGTTAATTGTATCTTTACAGGGGACTGAAACCTAAGCAACTGAGGAAGAGGTGCCTCAGTAGGATTCCCCTGTAGAAAAGTGAACACCCGCTGAGTTGCATGCTAACAAGATTTAAAGGGACGGTTAAAGGAATTATATTGATACAACACCAATTTCTGTAGATTCCTGGCATTTACTTGAAATAAAGAGCCTTGTGTTTGATTAGGATAAGATTCCCAATAACTAGGTGAAGAAGTTTCTAGAATATATTTAAATTCCTCTATAGTGTTAAACCTTGGGGTTTTTTTGTATTTAATTCCACATCCCCAGGTGTGATTAGTGTCACTTGTATGGTCTACCCAAACCCCAACTTATATCAGAATAACACTGTAGCTGCCATAAATTCTGTGCATGTGAACGGGGTGGTTGTTTTGGCACCATTTAACACGATGCTAAACTTGGTGTTTGGGGGTTTTCTGTGGTTTCTTTTGAAGTGTATGGGGCCCAGGTCATGGTTTTAGAGGGTTCAGAAAAATACTTTTTCCACATATCACGAAGGGGTCTTCCTTCTTCAGCACCAAATGGTATAGAAAAGACAAGATACTGATTACTTAATACAAACACAAAAACAGACTTACACATCTTTTTGCTTTACGGACTTTTAAAAGGATATCTCTATAAGACGCTTGTGCAATTTAAAATGCTTAAAAGAAAAAGAACAAAAACAACAATCCACTGATAAATTTTAACAAAGCAACAAGCAAGGCTAAGCTAAGCTATCTAGGGTTCGTGCCGTTTCTCTTTCTCTCTCTCTCTGTCTCTCACGTGTGTGTTAAATTTGAAAAACATAAACATTACAAGTAAAAGTGTTAAGAGAACGATTCACCTGGGAAACACGAGCCCACTTGAGTTTCCTATCCTTTTTGATTTGATAGACCGAAGGTCTTAGTGTATTGACTATGGAATATGGGCCTATTCATTTTGAGTCTAGGATATGATCTTTTTTTAGCCAGTTTCGGATACGTTACTTGGTTTTCCGTTTCCCACAGTGCTGAGTCTGTGGCCTTTTGTTTCTATATTGCTGTATTTCTTTTTTTAATGGCCTCATTAATTCTGTGTTGCAGGGTGTGCTTGTCTGTTAGTAGTTGCTTTAACCATTTAAAATAGTTATTTTTTGTGGCCACAAGATGGCTGTCTAGATACTTTGTAAACTGTTTCGGATTTGTCGTTAGTTGCATAGGTTGCCCAAATAGAATCTGGTATGGTTGAATTTTAGTTTGCAGCCTGTTACTGCTGCGAATGGCGGCTAAAATTAAAGGTAATTTTTTAGGCAAATTCTTTCCTGTATGCTCTACATAGTGCTTCTTTGATGGTGTGGTTTATCTGTTCAACTTGGCCTGAAGATTGAGGCTGATATGGGATGTGTAATTTTTATTTTAATTCTTAGAGTTTGAAGCATCATAGTAAATACTGTTCCTACGAAGACCCCTCCATTGTCAGAGTCAATCATTTTAGGAGTCTCGTATTTGCATACTACTTCAGTGAAAAGCTTTTTGGCTGCTATCCCAGTACTGTTGTTCTTAGTAGGAAAGGCTTCTACCTGTCAAAGAGCAAAGTCTTTGATTTCAGATGCCGATGGCAAAAAGGGCAAAAGCGCAGAAAATCAGAGGCTAACACAGCAAACTTTGTAATTGTACTCTTACACTATTATTTTTTAGTTTGTAACAGTGCTGCATATACACACCCCTATCTGTGCCTCATTTCAAATTACTTGAGCTCCCATACGAGAGAAAAGTTAACCTTGAATTGTATACAACTCAGCGCTATGACGTCAAAAAAGATATCATAACCATAGTAACGAGATACCAAATTGGCTGACTTTAATGAAGTTGTAAAATTAAATAATATGCTATGCTTGCCCTCTTGTGACCAAACAGGACCAGTACCACCCAAGCAAAAAATAACCCCCCTTTTTTCTGAAACTTGAGCAAACAAAGAGAGCACAAGTGCCAGCTTGTTAATTATTCATGCCTAGCGTGTAGTAATTGGCTATCTTATCTTGTATAACTTTGAAAGAACTTCTGCCCAAAGCGGAGATCTCGGAGCATTCCCAAGAGACACAGTTTGTAACCTGATCAGTTACAAACAATATCTCCCCATCTTCGGTTGGTTTTATTTTTTATTTTTTTCCCTCTGGCGTAACCCCGTTCCTGCCGGCTCGTTCTTTTCGTCTTGTCTTATCTTTTGTACGTCCCTCTCGTCAAGAGCTCTCGGTAAAGACCGTAGTAATTTGTGTAAACTGTTTGAAACCTGTACTCAGCAAGTCTGCAACTTACTGTAATCGCTGGGTGACAGAACATCTGCATGCTGTAACTGAACAAATTATCTCTTCTGTCTACGCTGCAATCAATCATCAGCAGCGTAAGTAACATAAACTTTTTGTGTAACCAATACGCTTTAAGTCACCTGACACCTGACTCCTACCCGTCATTAACACCCACCTGTCTGATCACCATTCTTACTCGCGCCAAGCCGGTCGTGCCGACCAAGGCTCGCGGGTCAAGGGTGCACCGGTCTTTGGGTGCGACACTACCCACCTAGAAAATGAATGAATAATTATAAGCAAATACCCGAATCCTTCCTTACTTCTAGGTAATTTGTTAATAAAATCAATTTGAGTTTGGTGCCATGGTCCGAAGCATCTTTGATGCATCATTGGTTGCCAGCGTAGGTGTCGAGCCTTTTCCATGGCACATTGAACACAGTTTTTAACCCACATCTTCATATTATTTTTAATACTTTTTCAATTAGTGATTTGCTTAACTTGTTGCAAAGTTCCCTCAATTTCTTTATGCATAAATTGGTGTGCTACATTAATCAGTTTTTGTTATTTTATTTTACTAGGGATGTGTTGGGATGGTTGCTGAGGTAATTCATCCTCAATATTAGTGTTGAAAGGGATTGTTTGGTGTGACTTCTTTGCATGACTCCTGGTGACAACTGTTGTAGGTCTTTCTTCAGGTCTTTCTTTTGCCAGGATATTTACTTTATTGTTCCAGTATGTTTTCAAAGTACTATCTTTGTGTGCCTTTACATGTTTTTTTAATAAATGGGGGTGTTGGGTTACCCAGTGGAAAATCCACTGCCACTCTTACATATGCAATATCCTTTCCATTTGTACCTTTCCAATTATTTCTTTCCCAATCGTACATCCAGTACTGAATTTCTTTCACACACAAGTTACTGTTAGTGTAACTATACACTGATGGGGAGCTTTTTTATATAACTTTAAAACCTGGCAAATAGCATGTAATTATGGTATGGTCTATGTTGCCTTCCAAAATTTTCCCTTATAGCTTATAGCTGCATATTTGACACTCTTTTTTTCTATTTATTATCATTAAACTTCTTCTGTTA